AACACAATCTCAATTCTTCTATTAATGAAATGTTTGTTATCAGTGTGATTCCAAATGGAATTCCCATTGAAAGTATAAAGTTAAGATCAATTTCTTGATTCTTTACATCTTCAAATATGCCATATCTATGCATGAACTATGTGGTCGAGTTCAGCTACTCGGATATTTTTAGACTAAAGATCAGAGGAGAAGTCGAACTAGTCAAAAATTAAGTGAGCTTAGCAATATTCAGTGTATTCTTTTTCTCCGGGTCAGGTAATGTCCTTCTTTGCCCACATCAAGTAATTAGTGTCCTTAATTGTGCCCTGCACCCAATAAAACATGCATTCTTGATAGCACTTCATTCCAAAATTAGCGTTCTTATTTACATAATTTTTCATTTTTTTGCCTAGCTAAGTGGGTTGAGCTTGAATTACTGAACTTAAGTGAGGAACACTTTCACGCTAATAGCTATGGGTATGGCTTGGTTTTGGTTGTAATTGAAAGTGAATTATTGGTTAATTGAAGTATTGGGTTTTAAATTTTAGTAACTATTAATCAAACCATAAAAGACATGTTTTATTGGTTTTGGTTACATTTTTTAGAGTAATTATTTGGATTGGTTTTAATTTTAACCAAAAAAAATTATTTTTATATATTTCAGTGATTTTTTGAATTACTATTTTATTAATTACAATCACAAAAAAATTTAAAAATCATCTACATAAATAAATAATTAAGTGAAAAATGACTAGAAAATCTTTTAAAAAATCTAAAAACCATTAAAAATTTTCTATAAAAGGGTTTTAGTTTGGATTTTTCAATTGTACTCATCTAGTTATCAATTTTTTAGTTTTCAGACTTAATAACCAAAACCCACTTGTTTCAAATTGGTTTGGTTTAATTTTTAATCAAACAAACCTAAAACCCAGTCAAACCTTACCAATCAGTTATGGTTTCACTAGTTCTCAGATTTTCTTTTTCAGTAGTGGATTTTTTGGCCTACCTCTACATGCTACCAACTAGCCGAAACTCTAATATATTTGGGTTAAGAGAAATGAATGAGAGAAGGGAAAAAAAAATTTTTTTTTTTGTTTTTTAAAAAATTTGAGGGGGGGGGGAGGAAGGGATTTTCTTTTTTTTTTTTTTTTTAATTTTATTTACTTATCCAAATGAAGGGAAGAGAGGAAAGGGGAAGAAATTAGAAGGATCCATTCACCTCTCCAGCCTTCCATTCCCCTAAATTCAAACATTTGGTAAATGTAAAAGGCTTTCTCATCACATTTTGATGAGGGTTCAAACTTGTATAACCCTCTCCACGTGTTAAACCATTATATACGTAAATTAGCTAAGCTCATGCGTTTTCAAGTTGATAAATTGAAGCTAAACTCAATTTGTTTACCAAATGACAGCCGTTTTTGAGTGGTTCGCGAGCAACTTGAGTCGTAGACATCTTATTCAAACACACACGCACAAAAAGAGAGAAGGAGAAACGCGCAAGTGCCACTACTAATCTACCACTTGTATGCAGCATGACGCATGGCAAAAACAAGTTAGAATTAAAGCAGCCGAATGGGCAAAAGAACCAATATCTTTCATATTCTTGCATTAAGGACAGTTTCAAAATCCTTTTTCTGCCGCACGGTTTTTGTCCGATTATCGTAAGGCTGGCATAAACAGACGATAGAATGAAATGATAATGACATCCTAGAACTCAATCAGATTAAGCATTTTGTCTATTCAACTCAATCTTGTCATGATTCAAATCTCCAGCTTAGAGATAAGGACCAGAAGACAAAATCTCCATTTGAGGAAAAAAAAAAGAAAGAAAACCAATTTTGCCACGCAAGTAAAATTGTCTGTTGAGGGTAATGGAAATCGATTGAGGGTGACTCAAATGAGCAGAAAAAAGGGACGGGGACGTTTTATCTAAGAAGAGTGCAAGACTAATTCTGTCCTATTTGGAATAATTTTTAGGTCCATTTTGGAGCAATGTCATGACATGGAGTGATGCATGGTCTTTCAAATGGTACAGTGTTTCTTCCCTTCCGTATATAAAGGCAGGGGAACTCTGCTTATTCCCCCCTCCCCCTAAAGAAACAATGGCTGCTTCATTGAATAAGAGGGTTCTGTTGACCTTGGTGACCATGGTTGCTATGCTCATTCTTGCACTGAGTTCAGAAGGAAGAAAGATTGATAGCAGTGGAATGCTAATGCTTGCATTGAATTCAGAGGGGAGAAAGATTGACAGCAACAGTATCATCCACAGACTCGGATATGATGCTTCAAAAATTGAGGAGTATAGGAGGATGCTGGAAGGTGACCTACAAAGACTTTCACCAGGAGGACCTGATCCCGAGCACCACTAGCTGGGAACCACCACAAAAAGTTCTTCCTTCATAATGATGTTCTCTACATCTCTTCCCTTTTTCCTTTTGATTAGCTCCCCTGTTTCTCTTCCAATCCGCGCAGGCAGTTTAAAAAGCATTAGGCTTTACCATACACCCTTTGTACGGATCACCAATAAATGTCTTAACACTTTGCTTGGTACTTTCTGGATATGCTAGAATAAAATGTAGTACTCATTTGTCATAGAACTTGTAAAACATTTTTCCTTTTTTCCTAAACATGTTGCAACTAAATTTCTTAAAATAGCTTCTTTGCTAGAAAGTAAAGTGAAGCTAGGTTAAACATAATTTTTTTAAAAAAGTGCTTCTTATACATTTTTTAAAAGATGATTTTAGCTTCTAGAATGTTAAAAGCAGAAGTTACATATTTATAACTTAACAAGTCACCCTTTATAACTTATGAACCTATTTTACCCATGATTTGTCAACCCACTCATTTAACAGATCTAAGCGGCTTATACAAAATTGCAGTTTATATTGTTAAGTACGAAATCTCACATTAGAAAAAAAAATATATATGTGGCCTAAATATAATATGTGCTATTCCATTTATTGTCAATTTTTTCTTTTAGGAAAAATTATATTTTAATTGCTTGTAGTTTAGGATTAGTGCATAAAAAGACTTGAGGTTTTAAAATGTGTATATAACATGTGATTTGAGATGAGTGTAGATTAAGATTTGAGATTTCAAGATGTGTCAATAAGGACTTAAGGTTTGTATTTAATGTACATAACTACTTAAAGTTACATGAAATTATCCTAAATACTCTTATTTTTCTTTTCTTTTCATTATTTTAAATTAGGGGTTTTTCTGAAATTTCAAGTGATTATTTATAGCAAGTGCAAATTTTAAATTTTCATGCACATTTTGATATTTCGGGTCTTTATCTACACGTCGTACAAAACCACAAGTGTATTATATGTACATTTTAAAACCTTAAGTCTTTATTTGAATTTATCTCAAACCACAAGTAGTATATCGCAATTCCCCCTTGATTTTAATCTTGAATAAAGAAAAAATTCTACCTAGTATTAGCATAGTTGGCCTATCTTTGGTAGGACAAAAAAGGATTAATTTTCAGATACTCGCAAGTTAATTT